AGAATAAAAAAAAAAGTATTAAAAAATAAATGCATTCATATTTTTTAAGGAAAAATCGCCTCTTTTCACCCCCCCCCCCCCCCCCCCCCACCACGCCTTCACCTCATCCCACTAGTTTCATACGAAACCTGCGCTTGCACCTCCCTCAAATTGACTCAGTTGCTCACTTCATAATACTATCTTCGATATTTCCCCCCTGTTTTACCCCCCAAGCCTCTCTCTTATTCTTTGTTTAAAATCAATATACTAAACCATTTTCAGTCTCATCGTCTAGTCTGTGCATTCATCCTTTTCATCTGTGGAGAATCACCACAACTCCTTGCCATTCTCCCGAGCCCTGGCTGAAGTGGCCCCAAGTTCTGCCTACGTTTGCTTTGGCAGTGTGGTAACCAGAATGGGAAAGGCGTGCGGGCAGAACGCGTCGATAGTTCGATTGGGTTGAACATGTCTGATTCCTGGCCAGAATCTTAGACGCAACAACGACTCCGGCGTGTCAGGATGTGATATTTCGTGACAGCCAACTGTCAATTTCAATTTTTCAATCCTATCTCATTTGACAGCGGTCAGAGTGGTCAGTCTGTAATACCGCGTTGATATTCTTAGCGGGACTTAATTTCTTCTGTGCCAGTTAGTTTATAAAGTAATCGTGTTAGTGATTTTGTGTGTGTGGAAGTTGGCTAAGTAATCCCAGATTGGGAGACTCAGTCTGGTTTACAGGAAAAGTGTTTATGTGTCATATTTTTTAGGATTGCAGCTTGGATAAATATGTGAAAACTGTCTTGTGTAAAATTGCTTTCTTCTTCTTCCTTTTCTTCTGTTTCTTCTTCTTCTTCTTCTTCTTCTTCTTCTTCTTCTTCTTCTTCTTCTTCTTCTTCTTCTTCTTCTTCTTCTTCTTCTTCTTCTTCTTCTTCTTCTTCTTCTTCTTTTCTTTTTCTTCCTCTTCTTCTTCTTCTTCCTCTTCTTCTTCTTCTTATATGTTCACCAGCTGTAAGCTCGGGGGGGGGGGGGGGGGAAGTCCTGGTTGTTCGTCCATTTGGACTTTGGCTTTGCACCAGGGCTTGAGTTTTGCGTGTACATCCGTTTTACTGGCCTATTTGTGTGCGGTTGGTTGTACGTTGCCTCTCGGGCAGATGCACTAAACCTTGGAAGGAAGTCATTAGTAAGTCTACTACTACGACATGTTTGCTGGGAAGGCACAGGATCTACTCTTGTTTTCCCCACAATGTGGCCCCGGAACCCACACGTAAATGTATATGTTTATATATATATCATTCTATTTTTGAATTTATTTTTCTTTCTTATCTCTCCCTGTCTCCCCCCTACCCTTCACATTCTCCCTCTCCCCCCCCCCTCTCTCTCTCTCTCTCTCTCTCTCTCTCTCTCTCTCTCTCTCTCTCTCTCACACACACTGTCTAATAAAGTTCGTTCGTTCGTTCGTTCGTTCCTCTTTCATCCGACTCTCTCCCTCCTGTTATATCACATTTGCGTCCTCTTTCCCTCTCTTCTCACCTCGCATTCCCCCATCCCCCCCCCCATCCCCCTCATCCCCCATCTCCCCCACCCCACCCCCATATCTCTCCCTCCATCTCCCTCCTCCCCCCATCTCTCTCCCCTAATCCCCCGCCAGGTGGGGAGACCTGAACCCATGCAAATTTAATTTCTCATTTGTCCTGGAAACCCAACCTGCCCTCTGACCTTTAGCACAACAAAATGGTCTCTTGTCTTATCTGGCCAGCCAGGGACGGGGATGTTTCCTCCAAACCTGATTTGTAGGGGGAGGAAACACTACTTCTGTCTGTCTGTCTGTCTGTCGGTCGTCGGTCGGTCGGTCGGTCGGTCGGTCGGTCTGTCTGTCTGTCTGTCTGTCTGTCTGTCTGTCTGTCTGTCTGTCTGTCTGTCTGTCTGTCTGTTTGTCTGTCTGTCTGCTTGCTTACATTATTATCATTGCTTCTGTTAGTATGTCGATCTGTTTCGCTGACTTGTCGTGTTAACGTAGTTTTCTGCTAGGCTGTTTTGCTGTCCACGGGTTGGTAATTTTATATCGAAGCCTTTTCTGTCTGTTGGTCTGTCGACCTGTTCTGCTGACCTGTCGTGTCTTTCTTCTGGTGTGTCCATCTGTTCTGCTGACTTATCGTGTCTTTCTTCTGGTGTGTCCATCTGTTCTACTGACTTATCGTGTCCGGTCAGTGTCTATATATCGTTCCAATGTCTGTCTATGGGTTGGTCTATCTACTATGTTATCATTGTTGTCTGTCTAGCGGTTGTTTTACCTTCGCTGTTGTTTTGTCTCTCTATGTGTTGGTCTGTCAAAAAATCGAACCCCCCCCCCCCTCCCCCCTCCCCCCCCCCCCAATCCTGCTTTGTCATTGACTCCTAACTTTATTCTACTAATTTATCTCATCCTCCACCCCGCTTAACCTCCTCCTCACCCACTCTGATTAATTTTCCCATCCTATCACACTAGATCCATTTACCCAGCCACCCCACTCCGATGCCCTATCCACCCTCAATGACCTTCTCCAGCCCTCCCCACCCCAAATCAGATCCCATCCTGAACATATATCCGGTCAGTAAGTAGGCCAGATTCTTATCCACATTTAGAAATCTGAAGTCACCGTTCCTTTTCTCTGCCAAAGTCTGTGTTTGTTCGAAGGAAATTGCGCCGAGTCCAGGGCAGCATCGGCCAACCCACCAACGGACTTGAAGCTCTGATCTGACCCTGGCTATTCATATTTAGATGGGCTACCAGGGGTAATAACTCGAACCGGCCACGGTTATGGTTCTTTGTCATCATAAGTAGAACATCATTTGTTCTCGTAAAGTTCGGATATTGGCAGGATGAAGTTAAAGTCAAGAAAACGGATTTCATATCACTCGGTTTTATTACACATGGCTCGGTCACTTTCCGCAGACAAGCTAGACACCTGCCGAAATCATCGCACAAAATATTAACTCCATAGCTCCGGCAACGATTCCTATAGATCTTCGTAAAAAAGCAGCCGTGAACTGGCCAACTGCGTATCCTTTACAGAACGTTACAGAAGCACCGCCAGTATTTGCTGGCTGTCTGCGTTTCTAAATTTAGTAGTTTGCCATTGCTGCCTTCACGTTTGGGGCTCTATAACATTGTCGGAATCGGCGCCCGCAGCTGGGATGAAACCGGGTATGTTGGAATTACGAAGCGTGTTCCCAACGCGTAAGCGATTAATACCCAAGATATCGACTTTTACTTGGTCGTTGAAGCGATCAATCTATCGCCGGCCGCCTTTACTTCCTGCTAACCATTTTAGACCGCGTCTATCTTGAAAGCCTCTTACAATAACCACTTTTATATTATATATTATATTATATTATATTATATTATATTATATTATATTATATTATATTATATTATATTATATTATATTATATTATATTATATTATATTATATTGAACAGTATCAAGAAGCTGTGTCAGGTGGGCAGACACGAATCTGCTCCTCTGATCTGTCATGTTTCTGGGCATGATTTCTTCTAAACGGATTGGTGATATTTTCCAATGGATTGAACAAAGCTGGTCGACCGAGGGATTGAACAAGGCAGGTCGAGCGAGGGATTGAACAAGGCAGGTCGAGCGAGGGATTGAACAAGGCAGGTCGAGCGAGGGATTGAACAAGGCAGGTCGAGTGAGGGATTGAACAAGGCATGTCGAGCGAGGGATTGAACAAAGCAGGTCGAGCGAGGGATTCATCTGCATGGGCTACGCACTTACTGCCCAGGCTTGAAGGTCTAGTGCAGGGCCATTCAACTAACTTTGCAGAGGAGCCAGACTTAGGGAGATGGAGATCATCCAGGGCCATTCAACTAACTTTGCTGAGGAGCCAGACTTAGGGAGATGGAGATCATCCAGGGCCATTCAACTAACTTTGCTGAGGAGCCAGACTTAGATAGATGAAGATCATCCTGGGCCAGAAGACCAAGCCCCAGCATAGAAAAAACATTAATACAATGTTAGACAGTTGGCAGGTAATCCGCGGGCCATTTGCCAGGCTTTTTCGGGCCACATTTGGCCCGCGAGCCGCCAGTTGAATAGCCCTGGTCTAGTGGTTTTACCACTCTGCCTTACTAAAGTAGAATAAAACACTATCGTCTCAGAGCATCCTGATTCTCTGGTACCTTACGGTGTCGAGTTGAAGTATAATTCACAAGGAAGTGCCCGTTGGTACGCTTCATTACTAGGGATTCCCAGGGACTCTGCTATTCCGTCAGTCCATCGCTTGCATGGTCGGCCTCTGTTTCACTTTTCGCCTGGTCCGTACATCAGTGCTCGCTGTGGTAAACTGTTGGCCAGCGATTAAGCTGGTAATGTTGTTGAAGGTAATGTTGTTGAAGAAATGTTGTTGAAGGTAATGTTGACGTTGTTATTAATGACCATAATGTTGATTAATATGACAATAATAACTTCCTTTTTCTTAACATTTCAGAATCATCGATGAGTTTTAAAGACCGGACTTTGGCTAGACAATGAACCTGATGGCAACAGTTTGTAGAGCAAGATCAGCCCAGTGCAGGTTGTCCAGATTCTCCCCCTCTATATTATGTCTGACCAGATCAGCCCTTCAATTAGTTTCCTAATCAATACGGAAGATAGGCGTAGGCGGTGCCGAGGGGTGCCCACGAGCTGACAAACGGATATTGATTCCGCGGCCAAAGACCGCACAACAGGCACTCACACTTTCAGCATTGGAGTTATTTCCCTTAGGTTTGTGTACCGGAAGGATCTTCTCCAAGGTCACGGGTAGTGTTTCACTTAAACCAAAGAATTCCTGAGTCCCAAAACTGGTCAAAGGTGCGACTGCGGCTGTTGAGCTAATTATGTTGCAGAGTCCTCAAATTTTGAGATCCAGTCTTTTTTTCGACAAAGGGAGATAAGTGCATAATCAGTTTACCTATGTAAGGGAAGTAATTTTTATTTTTTTACAGACATAGTTTACTATTTAGAGATCTGAACAGTTTGCAGTATGGAATTATCCTGGAGTTTACTAGTATTACGCTGTGAAGTGTTCGTACTGCTTCTTCTGGTCAGGCTGGTTGTGGATCAGGTGATCATCCGGCAAGAATACCACACACAGGAGGAGGGAGGGGCCGGCGTGCTTATTGGTAATGCGGGTAAAGACAGCGGCTTGTACGATAAATTCCAGAAAGATTTCCAGAAAGTTCTATTCAAACCATTCGAGCACGGCAACGATTACATCTCCTACTTCTCTGTCGATTCATCTAATGGGGTCATCCGCACGGCCAAGAACTTGGACCGGGAGACTATCTGCCCTACTGACCCCATTTGTTCTGTGAAGCTGAGTATTCCCGTCTACAGCTCGCCCGCGGCGGCCTCCCCAATTTTGGACAGCGTTTTAGAGGTGGTTATTTTTATCGATGATATCAACGATAAAAGCCCTACGTTTCCTAACCGAGTGGTCAATCTCTCGGTACCGGAAAACCAGCCAATCAACTATCAGGTAGAGACCAGCGTGGCTACAGACGAAGACGCTCCGGGAGACAACTCTAGGATCACGTACAGACTTGACCCTGCCATTGACGTGTTTGAGCTGAGCACGGTCAGGACAGCAGACGGGGTCGAGGATCTGGTCATCACGGTCAAGAAGGTTCTAGATCGGGAGACCAGAAGTCACTACCAGCTAAAGGTCGTGGCCACAGACCTGGGCAAGGAGCCCAAATCTGGGACAGTGTTGATAAACGTTTATGTGGCAGACATGAACGATAACGCGCCCGTTTTTGGGCGGTTAAATTATTCAGTGAACATACTGGAAAATTCTGACGTGACCAACCCGGTTGTGATAGTTTCTGCTAGTGACCAAGATGAAGGGAACAACTCCCGTTTGTCTTATGCCTTAAGCGCGCAAGTTTCTGCAGAGATCCAAAACACTTTCGTCGTGGAGCAAAACACGGGGAAAATTTTCACCAGGCGAGAGTTGGATTTTGAGACCAAGAAAAACTACCAGTTCCACATTGTCGTCTCGGACAACGGGAGCCCGCCGAAGTCAAATTTCGCTTATGTCACCGTAAATTTGATCGACGTCAACGACAACCCGCCAGTCATTCAGGTCAACCAGGCACTGGATGTGGGCAGTGTGGTGGAGAACGGGGCAGTGGGAAAGTTCCTGGCCTTCATCAAAGTCTCTGACGCCGACAGTGGGCTCTATGGGAAGGTTTCCTGCAGAATTGATGATTCTAATTTCATTCTGGAAGCTGTAGATGATTCCAGCGTGGGGATTTATAAAATCAAACTCAATCAGATGTTGGACAGAGAAGAGGCGCCAACACGGAATGTAGTTATTACGTGCCAAGATGGCGACGTCCGTCCATTGTCCGCGTCTGCTACACTTTCTGTCCCAATCGAAGACGTCAATGACAACTCGCCCAAATTTGTGGACAGTAAATTGTCCGGCACAGTTATGGAAAATGGAAAAGACGATATGTATATCATGCAAATTGAAACCGTAGACCCGGACATGGGCGAAAACAGCCGAGTGACGTATGCGATTTCTGGGGGAAGGAATGCCTCCCTATTTGCGATCAATCAGACTTCGGGTGCTATCTATACTACGCGCATGCTTGACAGGGAGATCCAAAGTGAGTACCTGCTGGAAATAACAGCTTCAGACCATGGTGCCCAGCCTTTGGCGTCGTCTGCTACCGCAACAATCAAAGTACTGGACGAGAATGATAACCCGCCAAAATTCCGGAAGCAAGCTTTCCTCAACAGTATAAAGGAGAACTTGCCTGCAGGATCTCCAGCAGGAGATGTGTCTGCCTACGATGCAGACACGGGAGACAACGCCAAGTTTAACTTCTCTATCGTTAGTCAGGGCCCTGGTGCTGATGACGGGATGTTGTTCACCGTTGACCCCATGTCCGGCCTCCTCAAATCTGAAGTAACCTTTGACCGAGAAGGGAAAAGGTTGTACAGCTTCCAGGTGAAGGTCGCCGATCCCGCTGTGTCTACATACTTCGATATCGCCAACGTTACTGTAACTATAGAAGATGACAATGACCATGCGCCTGTGGTTGTCAAACCCCCGCCATCAGATCGTACCTTTCGCTGTCCGTTTAACCTGACAGTTGGCAGCGTCATTACAACTTTTGTTGCCACCGACCAGGACGACCCGCGACTTGTGGAGATCTCGTTCTATATTCAGAACAAGGAGACTAAGAAACCGTTGTTTTCTATTGACCCAACCTCGGGAAAGCTGCGACTAGCCAGGCAGATCCGCCCAGAGGATGTGACCACGTATTCATTGAACGTTGTTGTCAAAGATGGAGTGGGTCCGTCATCGCGATCAACTGTTGTTGCTGTGTCCATCACTGTTGAAGAAGGCAGTGAGGAAGCAATGAGGGCCTTCAGTGAGGGCTCTAAAACTAACATGGTTATTGTTATCATCATCATCGCGGCAACCCTCGTCCTTGCCTTCATCGTCATTATCGTCATCTGCCTTATCAGACGTGTGGATAAAAAACGTCACGCCCAGAGTCAATCTTCCGTGGCCAACATGGACAACAAACTTTATCAAGCTGCCCAGTGGGTCAGTACAGTGTCCGTGACAAATGACCATGGCCCTGAAGAGATCAGATCAACTTTGGAAGTTCCAGGAGAGAAGAAAAAGAAGAAAGAGGTTAGTTTTTCTCTTGAGGATGAAGTGGTGGAGTCTCCTGATACAAGTGGGTCTATCTGCAGCGTCTTCTCGTCTCTGCCTAATCCTGCTAAGGGAGTGGATAATCTTTCCTTTCCGATGGTGAGTAGTTTCAGTCATTCATTGATAGTCTCTCCTCATCCACAACGGAAGGTAAAGGTACATGACCTCTCATTCAGTCTCCTATCTTTACTTCTATGGCTCTTTGTTCCTAACTTCTGCATATCCAGTACATTCATGCTGGGTTGTATTATTCCTTTTCAGAAGTGAGCTAAAAGGCACCTTTGACTTGTGTCCTTCAGCCTTTCTTCTTCTGTCTTTCCTCTTCTTTTATGGTCCTTGAATGTTTACAATACTTTTTATCACTTGATATTGTTTAGAATATTACTTATACGAAAAACTATTTCAGAACGTACAAAATGACAGCATGCTTCCGCGAAGGCAGCAATTTTGATTGTTCCATATTGCAGGATCGTTCATTGCAAGAAAACTGTTGGGGGGAGCTCTAATTGTAGCTTAAAATATAAATGTGTATGGATGAAAACACGAATCTCTGAAATTTTAGTTTCCCTTTCCAAACCAGAAAGACCTGACCATCTTTGAACCTTCATAACTCCAATACTACTTACTGGATTTAAAAAAATTTATATACAGACATGTAGGATATTGTTTAATCTTCGATTTGTTACTAAGTTTGTTTCGAAATTCTAATATCGTATTTTTTTCTTGTCCGATGAGTTTTTCAAAGTTTGGGCTGTATTTATCACTCCATTGATAAAGACTTTGGTCGAAACGTTCAGTTGTGTTTGCGTGCGTCTTTTGGGCCACTCCACTGAGCTTTCTTGTCTCATTTTGTGTTATTTTTATCATATCGGGAAAGAGATTAGGACGAACCAGTACTAAACTACATCAAGAGATAGCAGATCAAATGGTTTGGACATGACTCAAGGCTACCACCAGATAGTATGCCACATAAAGCCCTAATACTTCGACACGATGGAAGCAGAACTAGAGGTCGACCCAGAAAACAATTGATAGATAGAATATTCGAGGACGTCAAAACCAGTATCTATATACCACATACCCCGACCCGAGCATAATGCCTCTTCAAAACTTGACGGTGAAAGGAAGAAGAAGAAGAAGAAGAAGAAGAAGAAGAAGAAGAAGAAGAAGAAGAAGAAGAAGAAGAAGAAGAAGAAGAAGAAGAAGAAGAAGAAGAAGAAGAAGAAGAAGAAGAAGAAGAAGAAGAAGAAGAAGAAGAAGAAGAAGAAGAAGAAGAAGAAGAAGAAGAAGAAGAAGAAGAAGAAGAAGAAGAAGAAGAAGAAGAAGAAGAAGAAAAGAAAAAGAAGAAAAGAAGAAGAAGACAGACGAAGACGAAGAAGAAGAAGAAGAAGAAGAAGAAGAAGAAGAAGAAGAAAAGAAGAAGAAGAAGAAGAAGAAGAAGAAGAAGGGAAGAAGAAGAAAGAAGACGAAGAAGAAGAAGAAGAAGAAGAAGAAGAAGAAGAAGAAGAAGAAGAAGAAGAAGAAGAAGAAGAAGAAGAAGAAGAAGAAGAAGAAGAAGAAGAAGAAGAAGAAGAAGAAAAGAAGAAGAAGAAGAAGAAGAAGAAGAAGAAGAAGAAGAAGAAGAAGAAGAAGAAGAAGAAGAAGAAGAAGAAGAAGAAGTTGAGAAGAAAAAGAAGAAGAGAAGAAGAAGAAGAAGAAGAGAAAGAAGAAGAAGAAGAAGAAGAAGAAGAAGAAGAAGAAGAAGAGAAGAAGAAGAAGAAGAAGAAGAAGAAGAAGAAGAAGAAGAAGAAGAAGAAGAAGAAGAAGAAGAAGAAGAAGAAGAAGAAGAAGAAAGAAGAAGAAGAAGAAGAAGAAGAAGCGAGCTAGCAAGACCAACAAAAAATCTTTTAAATCGTCTTTCCTTGTGACATTTACCGAAGTAAATCTGGTAAACAATCGGTTGTTTTAATTTTTTAAATATTCCTGAATTTAACTGGCCGAGAAATTGTGTGACACGTGCTTGGAACAAGCAGCTTCCACGATCGTCACTACCACGTTCTTACAAATCAGTTGCAAAGTTTGTAGAAATCTAATCAATACAAATTGTATCAATTAAAACTTTACCTAGTTATTACTTGACAGCAATAAGTCGAACAGGTCATAACTTTTAAGAAAAGAGGGTGGGGGGGGGGGGGGTAAAATATGAAGACAATTTGCAAGAGAATTCAGTCGAAACAAATCTGTGTCGACATAAGGTCGGGAAAACAAAAACAAATCTTCAGTATTGATCATGAGCTCAGACCAGAGTCTAACAAAAGGCCAAGCAGCTGCAGCTTGTTTCTCGCTGTAGAACCCCCGTCTCAATATATTATCTTAGCTTTTGAAGATATACTGAATGGGCAGATTGGTTGGTTCTGCACCACTTGGTTATCTATTGATGTGCGATAAACTAGATGTGGCCAAGGAAATCGTGTAAACAATAGGAAAACATAAATAGGTAAACATGGTCTGAAGAGAAAGGTGTAGCGAGGAGTGACCAGATCTTGCTCAAGACGAGCAATAACCAGGAGATGTGGCTCAAGTCGAGGAGTGACCAGGAGTGACCAGGTGATGTGGCTCAAGTCGAGGAGTGACCATGAGATCTGGCTCAAGTCGAGAATTGACCAGAAGATCTGGCTTAAGTTAAGGAGTGACCAGAAGATCTGGCTTAAGTTAAGGAGTGACAAGGAGATCTGGCTCAAGTAGACCAGTGACCAAGAGATCTGGCTCAAGTCGAGGAGTGACCAGGAGACCTGGCTGAAGTCGAGGAGTGACCAGGAGATCTGGCTTAAGTTAAGGAGTGACCAGGAGATCTGGCTCAAGTCGACCAGTGACCAAGAGATCTGGCTCAAGTCGAGGAGTGACCAGGAGATGTGGCTTAAGTCAAGGAGTGACCAGGAGATGTGGCTCAAGTCGAGGAATGACCAGGAGATCTGGCTCAAGTCGAGGAGTGACCAGGAGATGTGGCTCAAGTCGAGGAGTGACCAGGAGATCTGGCTCAAGTCGAGGAGTGACCAGGAGATCTGGCTCAAGTCGAGGAGTGACCAGGAGTTGTACCTCAAGTCGAGGAGTGACCAGGAGATGTGGCTCAAGTCGAGGAGTGATCAGGAGATGTGGCTCAAGTCGAGGAGTGACCAGGAGATCTGGCTCAAGTCGAGGAGTGACCGGGAGATGTGGCTTAAGTCGAGGAGTGACCAGCAGATCTTGCTAAAGTCGAGGTGTGACCAGGAGATATGGCTCAAGTCGTGGTGCGACCAGGAGATCTTCCTCAAGTCGAGGAGTGACCAGGAGATCTGGCTCAAGTCGAAGAGTGACCAGGAGATCTTCCTCAAGTCGAGGAGTGACCAGGAGATGTGACTTAAGTCGAGGAGTGACCAGGAGATATGGCTTAAATCGAGGAGTGACTAGGAGATATGGCTCAAGTCGAGGAGTGACCAGGAGATGTGGCTCAAGTCGAGGAGTGACCAGGAGATCTGGATGAAGTCGAGGAGTGACCAGAAGATCTGGCTGAAGTCGAGGAGTGACCAGGAGATGTGACAAGTCGAGGAGTGACCAGGAGATATGGCTTAAATCGAGGAGTGACCAGGAGATATGGCTGAAGTCGAGGAGTGACCAGGAGATGTGACTTAAGTCGAGGAGTGACCAGGAGATATGGCTTAAATCGAGGAGTGACCAGGAGATATGGCTGAAGTCGAGGAGTGACCAGGAGATCTGGATGAAGTCGAGGAGTGACCAGGAGATCTTGCTAAAGTCGAGAAGTGACCAGGAGGTCTGGCTGAAGTCGAGGAGTGACCAGGAGTTCTAGCTCAAGTTGAGGAGTGACGAGGAGATATGGCTCAAGTCGTGGAGTGACCAGGAGATCTGGCTCAAGTCGAGGAGTGACCAGAAGATCTGGCTCAAGTCGAGCAGTGACCAGAAGATCTGGCTCAAGTCAAGGAGGGACTAGATGATCTGGCTGTAGTCAGGGAGTGATCTGGAGATCTGGCTCAAGTCGAGGAGTGACCAGGAGATCTGGCTCAAGTCGAGGAGTGACCAGGAGATCTGGCTCGATTCGAGGAGTGACCAGGAGACGGGGACAATAGGTCTCAACTGGCAGGTCTATGAAAACATGTGCTGTGGCAGAGTTCATGTATAGACAAGCAAGTCACGCAACCGGGGTAGCGTAAAACATAAACACTTGTACAAACAGAAGCAATATTATCACAAACGTACGTTTAGATAATTCACGTAAACAGAAACAATCATCTTCACTATCTGCTCATCTCCAAGACCACAGTACTGCCTAAAACATCAATAACCCTCCCCTCTCCCACCACCCACCAATTCGACCCCGCCTCAGTGCCTGGATGTAGAACCGACGATGAAAATTGGGCTCCAAGATGACGCGGCGGTTCAAGATGGCGTTATGACAGTACTACAATTGCAGCATATGTTCTACAGCTTAACGTTCTCTATGTCAAACATCTGTGGATGTATGTTAGCTCAGGCGCCCGGATCAGGGGAGGGAACTCTAGAACTGTTTAATGTGTCTTTAACTGAATTATGTATTATTGCTAGTTTTAGAGGGGGTACATAATTCTGCAACACCCTAATATATCTGCCATACTGGAAATATTCTGAAGGCTTCAAAGAAGAATAAGTGGACTGTGATGGTCTTTAGAACATGAAATTACATTTGTGAAATATCTTTAGGTTGGAACAAGAGATAGCTGAACTTCTGTCCTTAACATTTTCTTTCGTTACTTTTGTCCTTTCTCCAACAGTTGAACATGGGTCATGGGAAATGGCGCCAGCTGGCCTAAACTGATATCACGTCATTACACACACACGCAAGCACGCACATACACACGCACACACGCACGCACGTACACACACACATACATACACACACACAAACACACACACACACGCACGCACATACAGATTCCTACATTTGAAGTTGTAAATCATGGAGTCATCCCTGTCTGTGCACAGATGTCGATCCTCTATGTTGGTAACTGACCCTATAGACCAGTGTTTCCCCAAGTGGGTGATACCTTCCCGCGGACGTGGTACGT